AGAGAGACTCCACTATTTACTCGTACAGAACATCAAGTGTCTCGTGTTTACCTACAAGTGAGGTTGGTTGTAGACAGAGTGGGACAGCGTCTGGTGGTGGGAAGATGAATGGCGGGTTTAGTGTTGGTGTTGAGAGACTTTTGACAGATTAAACTATTTCATCCAGACATAAATCTAGAGAGTAGAGATGGACGACTGTTGTGAAGTTGAAGGATCAGGTGATGATATTTTTTTATTTATTACTTTGAACTACAGTAGATCTCTTTCTGTTAAGGAGAACTTTAAGATGGCTAAGAAAACTAAGATGTTAACCAAACCTAACTTAACCTAACCTAGTTTAATTTTATCTAACCTAACCTAACCTAAGTTACTCTAGGGATAATTTGGCTATCTTATGATGGTAAACGAGGTTTAAAATGAAATAGAGCAAATCTAATCACATACCAATTAATTTTCACTAAGTTGTACCATTATACAGTGTGTGTGTGTGTGTGTGCGTGCGTGTATACGTGCGTGCGTGCGTGTGGATATTTCTTATAAATTATCACAGTTTGGAAGATAAAGCTGAAATTTGGTAGGGAGGTGCGGGTGGACTAAGGGACTGATCGTGTACTATCACCTGTCCCTCCACCCAGGTAACTCAACTAGAGGTAAAATATGTTTCAGTGAATGGCACAACAACAGTATTTATCGCCTGAGAGAGAGAGAGAGAGAGAGAGAGAGAGAGAGAGAGAGAGAGAGAGGCACATCGTCATTACATCGAGAGAAAGGTTTTCCAGCGTAAATGAGAAACATAAATGCTAAAGTTCGTTTCACTTAATCCATTTACATATTTCACTTCACTGCATTTTCTTTTTTCCGAATAGCATAATTCAGAAAAAAAAATCATAATTACATGTCAGTGCGAGTAAGTGACTGAACCACCACCACACGATTTACATTCTCAGCTGATTTTGAAATTGCTTGGAAATGCAAATTAGGTACATGCTCTTTTTTCCTTTCACAAACAGATGGAGGTTAATGTTGCAATGCAGGTAGACTCTCCACCTACGGTCTGTACACCTTGTTGGTATTAGTTAATAATGTGATTACTGTATCGAGAATAACTGCCAAGAACTACCACATTGTTTCCACGAAGAATTTAAATGTATATGAATAACACACAAAAATTCCATTGGGACTTTTTAAACAGAAGATAAAGCTGCTTTTTTTTATCTGGGCTTTGAACTTCAGCTTGACCTCAGTATTCAGTTATCTAATCTAGTTCATTGATTTCTTTATACTTGTTATCAATACTAACTACCACGACCTTCTTTAGCTTTAACTCGTCTAAATCCTAGTCTCGTAGTCTCGTAAATTGTGTTTTGTGTTCATAACCTAACCTAACATAACCTCCTACAAGATCGTCAACGTCTCCTACAGGATGGTCAGCGTGATGTAACTGATGTATACTTTTTGGGTTTCCTTTCTCCGCGTCTCCAGAAAAGCTTTTACGTAAACTGATGGAGCGGCTGCCGGCTCACTGTCACCAACCATTTCAACATTTTCACCAATGCTCTTACCAACGTCTCAGTCAAGCCAAAACCCCATTGTGGGTATCTTGACAACACTATACTGCCTACGTCACTATCTATGCCATCTTCAACTTACTGCCAACACCTGTTCCAACACTATTACCAACATAATGGGAAAAATGTATTAGGAGTTTCTAACACTATTTGTGGGATTTACTTTTTTTTTGTATTTCCTATCAAAACTATAATACTTGAGTAAGTAAAACTATAATGATTTATAGTCGTTTACGTAGACTTCAATAGGACAACAAGACGCACTTTAACAAACCATTAATTTAATAATTGATTTAAATATACCAACTTGATATACCGAAGTGGCATATATAAGTAAATTAACGTATCCTAGGAACTATTAACGTATCCTAGGAGCGATTAACGTATCCTAGAAGCGATTAACGTATCCTTTAACGTATCCTAGAAGCGATTAACGTATCCTAGGAGCGATTAACGTATCCTAGGAGCGATTAACGTATCTTTTACCTATTAAAGTATCCTAGGAGCTATCAAGATGATGTCAATACCTCAGGTGTGTATTAATTTACCTTCTGATCTTGACGAAACGAACAAATAAGATGGTGAGAAAACTTATGGAAATTTATTACTTAAAAACCTTTCAAGTTTTATTTCCTTATTGTTCTTAGGTTTCTTAGTGTAAATAATGAACTCTCTCTCTCTCTCTCTCTCTCTCTCTCTCTCTCTCTCTCTCTCTCTCTCTCTCTCTCTCTCTCTCTCTGCTTTATTCAGGTTGATCGTCTCACTTCTCTCACACACCTAGACACTTAAGGGAGATGTGGTTGTGTTTGTTCTTCTTTTATTGTTGTTAGTGAGAAATGTCCACATGTATGACTCAGACATTTCAATAAGAAGGAAATATGGCTAAAATGTCTCGCAAGTATTATTGATGGTAAAAAGATTAAGCTATGTGTACACTCGGGGTGAAAAGTTCGCTTCCTCTCTCTCCTAAAGTGAAGCAGTATCGACCCCCCACATGAGACCAAACAACGCATACCCTCACCAGATGACAGTCAGGGTAAGTCAGTTCGGAGACTCATTCCCGCGACTCAGTTTCACCACTACTTTTATGTTCTTATGTAATGTATAGTTAAAAGAAAAATAAACTATTTCCTTTAGTTGTTCATCATTGAGGTTGATATGAGATATGTCCTTATGATATGAGTGTGTGTGTGTGTGTGTGTGTGTGTGTGTGTGTGTGTGTGTGGAGAGTCGCCTTCTGCCTTGGGGTCCGTTAGATGTGACACCTCCATTTAACGGACTATACGGTGAGGGTAATCCGCTATATGGAGGTTTTCGGTGTATATTTTCAAACGAGATATTTGTAGTCATGAAAATGGATAAAAGAAATTCGAGGAATTCTTTTTTTAAATGTAGTTTTTTTGTCTGTCAGTCTATTCAATACACACAGAGGTATGTATTTACAATCCCGAGTCGACTCCACGATGTATTAAAAAAAAGGTAAAAAAATGGTGATAAAACTGTCTATGTTAATCGTTGGAGGTTAATCAAATATGAATTAGAATCAGGGTTACTTATGCAGGTGTTCAATCCCTCGTGTGCAGTTGTTCATCCTCGTGTACAGGTGATTCATGCCTCATGTACAGTTGTTCATCCTCGTGTACAGGTGATTCATGCCTCATGAACAGTTGTTCATCCTTGTGTACAGGTGATTCATGCCTCATGTACAGGTGTTCATGCCTCGTGTGCAGGTGTTCATGATATCAACATTTACACCCAAACTAATGGTAGACCCTGCTCATAAATAGACTCGCCTTCTATTAGGCCACAAAGACTCCTATTATACCTCAACACGACTCTACACTTAAAAGTTAACTAAATATGGACCAAGTGGTAAGGGTTAAAACATGGCTTAACTTTCACGTTTTGATCACCTGGAAACACGTTGAAAATACAGTTCACCTTAGAGGCGCTGTAACATCTTCACTACAGGGACGTTACTTGTGATATTTTATTTAGCTAACGTTAGACGATTTTATTCAGCTCAGAGGGGAACCAGTAGAAAAGTGGTTAGTTGACTGCCTCTGTAATTAATGTAAATACCGGTCATAATAAAGGAGGAGGGTGGGGGTGTAAGTCATCAATTAGTGTTAGTAACTGTATCCTGGAGAGCAATTATATAAAGGCTGAAACTTGGTGAAACAAGAGTTGAAACTTTTAATGAGGGAACACTTAGCGAATCAATGGTAATAAACATAGGCATTTTTTTTTCTCCTTTCTATTAAATTTCAAAGGGTACGCAATTTGTTTGATGGCTAGAGGCAAGGAAAAAAAAAGTTGCCTGGAAAGTTTTGATCAGCAATTAAACCGCAGTGGTCTATCTGACATACAAAAAATCCCGAAAACAAGACGACATTTTCTGTTTGATATTTTGACAGTTTCATTTACAAAACCTCTAAGATGTGAAGTATTTCTTGATTATCTTTGTGTTTGTTCCTTCCCTCATAAATAGCGTACATTACTTCATTATATAGAGAGTAAAAGGTATTAGGCAGAGGAGTGAGGAGATGAATTGTTACCATCTCCATTGGCTTCGAGTGCAAGGTGTCTCAGAAAAATGTATACACACGACTTTATAGATTCTCGGAGCGATCGTATGAATTCTTTTATGACAGTCTGTATACATTTTTCTGAGACACCAAGATATTTTAGACTGTGAATTTCGACTGGGTTTAGGGAGCATTGGACTGGCTTAGGATATCACTCACTGACAGGATCGCGTGACTCGTGTTAAATTAGCGGCTGTGTAGGTGAGATGATTGCTGGCTGCAGACCTCACGACACCACCACTAGCAAACACATACTGTATATAGTGTGTTTGTGTGGGAGATGGTTTGTGGGGGATGGAAGCTGTATGTGGACGTATGTGTTTGTTTGTATGTTAGGGAGCGGGGATATATTTGGACTGATGTATGTCTATGTGTTAATGTGTCTGTTCGTGCTGGTGTATGTATTATGTATGTGTATGTATAGTTTTCTTTACTGTATGTGTATGTTTGTGACCTGAATCAAGAGAAACACAGGATATACTTCTTAACTTCTCTCTCCTGTTTCCTTGTCACGATTCAAGACTTGTTCGTGAGGAAAGACGTATTCTGGGACATGTGTTTGGGGAGGGGCGCCCATCCTCACATGACATGGAGGGAAGAGGGGAGAGGAGGGAGAAAGGGACGGAGAGGAAGAAGAGAGATTTCCGGAAAAATTCAGCTGCAAGTTCATTAAAGTTAAAAAAAAAAAAAACCTCAGAATTTGCTTGTGAAGACGTGTGGATATTCACGCCCACACGTACCTCAGGCTGGAGGACTCCCAAGACTATAATAAGAGCTCATAACGAGGAAGGTAGAGACATGGTTGCCAGCGGTGGAGGCCCAGGGGATAAAACTGAACACTGACACAATCCTGCGATACTAACTGTAAAATGTGGTGCCACACTGGGTTGAGACACTTTTGGATCTGTGCAGGAAGCGACCGTGCAGGTAAGTGGGGATCTGTGCAGTGTGTTGATCTAGCAGGTGTTGGATTCCAGCAGGTGCTGGATCTGTGCAGGTGCTGGAGCTGTGCAGGTGTTGGATCTGTGCAGGTGTTGATTTGTGTAGGTACCGGATCTGGTGCAGGTGTTGATCTGCAGGTGTTGAATTTGGTGCAGGTGTTGGATCTGTGCAGGTGTGTTGATCTGTGCAGGTGTTGGATCTGTGTAGGTGTGTTGGATCTGTGCAGGTGTTGGATCTGTGCAGGTGTTGGAGCTGCAGGTGTTGGATCTGTGCAGGCACGGATCTGTGCAGGTGTTGGATCTGTGCAGGTGTTGGGACCGTGTAGGTGTTGGATCTGTGCAGGTGTTGGGTCTGTGCAGGCCTGATCTGTGCAGGTGTTGGATCTGTGAAAAAGTGGAGCTGTGCAGGCAAGGATCTGTGCAGGCGCCCGGGATTCAGCAGGTGTTGATCTGCAATGATCCAGCAAGGGATCTGTGCAGGTGTGATCTGTGCAGGCACGATCGGCAGGTGTTGGATCTGTGTAGGCATCGATCTGTGCAGGTGCTGGATCTGTGCAGGCAAGGGATCTGGCAAGGATCTTGCAGGTGTTGGATCTGTGCAGGTGTTGATCTGTGCAGGCACTGGATCTGGTGCAGTGTGTTGGATCTGTGCAGGTGTTGATCTGTGCAGGTACCGGATCTGTGTAGGTGTTGGATCTGTGCAGGTGTTGGATCTGTGCAGGTGTTGGATCTGTGCAGGTGTTGGATTCAGCAGGTACTGGATTCAGCAGGTGTTGGATCTGTGTAGGTGTTGGGATCTGTGTAGGTGTTGGATCTGTGCAGGTGCTGGGATCTGTGCAGGTGCTGGAGCTGTGCAGGTGTTGGGATCTGTGCAGGCACGATCTGTGCAGGTGTTGGATCTGGTGCAGGTGTTGGATCTGTGTGGTGTTGGATCTGTGCAGGTGTTGGGTCTGTGCAGGGGTACTCGGGATCTGTGCAGGTGTTGGATCTGCAGGTGTTGGAGCCAGCAGGTGTTGGATCTGTGCAGGTACTGGATTCAGCAGGTGTTGGGATCTGTGCAGGTGTTGGATCTCAGCAGGTACTGGATCTGTGCAGGTATGTTGGATCTGTAGGTACTCGGATCTGTGCAGGTGTTGATCTGTGCAGGTGTTGGATCTGTGCAGGTGTTGGATCTGTGTAGGTGTTGGATCTGTGCAGGTACCGCTGGATCTGTGCAGTGTTGGATCTTGGTGCAGGTGTTGGATCTGTGCAGGTATGGATCTGTGTAGGCATTTCGGATCTGTGCAGGTGTTGGATCTGTGTAGGCATTTTCGGGATCTGTGCAGGTGTTGGATCTGTGCAGGTGTTGGATTCAGCAGGTGTTGGATCTGTGTAGGTGCGATCTGTGCAGGTGTTGGATCTGTGCAGTGGGTACTGATCTGTGCAGGTGTTGATCTGGGCAGGTGTTGGATCTGTGCAGGTGTTGGGATCTGTGTAGGCACGATCTGTGCAGGTGTTGGGATCTGTGCAGGTGTTGGATCTGTGCAGGTGTTGGGATCTGTGTAGGTGGGATCTGCAGGCAAGCTGGATCCAGCATACCGGGATTCAGCAGGTAAGTGAGCTGTGCAGGTGTTGGGATCTGCAGGTGTTGGGATTCAGCAGGCAAGGGATCTGTGTAGGTGTTGGGATCTGTGCAGGTGTTGATCTGTGCAGGTGTTGGATCTGTGCAGGTGTTGGGATCTTGTGCAGGTACTGATCTGTGCAGGTACTCTCGATCTGTGCAGGTGTTGGATCTGTGCAGGTGTTGGATCTGTGTAGGTGTTGGACTGTGTAGGTAAGTGATCTGTGCAGGTGTTGGATCTGTGCAGGTGTTGGGATCTGTGTAGTGATCTGTGTAGGTGTTGGGATCTGTGCAGGTGTTGATCTGTGCAGGTGTTGGATCTGGCAGGTGTTGGATCCAGCAGGTACTCGGATCTGTGCAGGTGTTGGGATCTGTGCAGGCATGATCTGCAGGTGTTGGATCTGTGCAGGTGTTGGATCTGTGTGGTGTTGGATCTGTGTAGGTGTTGGGATCTGTGCAGGTGTTGGATCTGCAGGTGTTGGGATCTGTGCAGGTGTTGATCTGTGCAGGTGTTGGATCTGTGCAGGTGTTGATTCAGCAGGTACTGGATCTGTGCAGGTACTGGATCTGTGCAGGTGTTGATCTGTGCAGGTGTTGGGATCTGGTGTGAAAAGTGATCTGTGTAGGTGCTGGATCCAGCAAAAGTTGATCTGCAGGTGTTACATCTTGTGTAGGTGTTGGATCTGTGTAGGTGTTGATCTGTGCAGGTGTTGATCTGTGCAGGTGTTGGATCTGTGCAGGTGTTGGGATCTGTGCAGGCACGGATCTGTGCAGGTGTTGGGATCAGCAGGTACTGGATCTGTGCAGGTGTTGATCTGTGCAGGTGTTGATCTGTGTAGGTGTTGGATCTGTGTAGGTGTTGGGATCTGTGCAGTGTTGGATCTCAGCAGGTGTTGGGATCTGTGCAGCAAGGGATCTGTGCAGGTACTGATCTGTGCAGGTGTTGGGATCTGTGCAGGTACTCGGATCTGCAGGTAAGTGGGATCTGTGCAGGTGTTGGATCTGTGTGGTGGTGTTGGATCTGTGTAGGTGTTGGGATCTGTGCAGTGTTGGGATTCAGGCAGGTGATCTTGTGTAGGTGTTGGATCTGTGCAGGTACTCGGGATTCAGCAGGTAAGTGATCTGTAGGTGTTGGATCTGTGCAGGTGTTGGATTCAGCAGGCAAGGGATCTGTAGGTAAGTGATCTGTGCAGGTGTTGGATCTGTGCAGGTGTTGGATCTGTGTAGTGTTGGATTTGCAGGTGTTGGATCTGTGCAGGTGCCTGGATCTGTGCAGGTGTTGGGATCTGTGCAGGTGTTGATCTGTGCAGGTGTTGGATCTGTGCAGGTGTTGGATCTGCAGGTGTTGGAGCTGTGCAGGTGTTGGATCTGTGCAGGTGTTGGATCTGTGCAGGTGTTGGATCTGTGCAGCAGGTACTGGATCTGTGCAGGTGTTGGGTCTGCAGGTGTTGAGCTGTGCAGGTGTTGGGATCTGTGCAGGTGTTGGATCTGTGCAGGTGTTGGATCTGTGCAGGTACTGGATCTGTGCAGGTGTTGGATCTGTGCAGGTGTTGGATCGATGTAGGTGTTGGATCTGCAGGTATTGGACCTTGCAGGTGTTGGTTCTATACAGGTGTTGGATCTATACAGGTGTTAGATCTGTGCCGTGTTAACTCCTGTGATGTAAATAGTTGACATTATTAAACGCTGAGATTACACCCGAAGTCCATCTCTCTCTATGTACAGTATATGAACACGTTAGTATATGAACACGTGTACAGTATATGAACATGTGTACAGTATATGAACATGTGTACAGTATATGAACATGTGTACAGTATATGAACATGTGTACAGTATATGAACATGTGTACATATAGAAAGTATATTACACAGTATATGAACACGGATATAATACGTGTACAGTATATGAACATGTGTACAGTATATGAACACGTGTACAGTATATGAACATGTGTACGTATATATGAACACTGTACAGTATATATGTACAGATTGACAGAAAACAGAATAATACATATAACTATAAACGTGTACAGTATATGAACATTGTACAGTATATGAACATGTGTACAGTATATGAACATGTGTACAGTATATGAACACGTGTACAGTATATGAACATGTGTACAGTATATGAACACGTGTACAGTATATGAACAAGTGTACAGTATATGAACACGTATACTGTATATGAACACGTGTACAGTATATGAACACGTATACTGTATATGAACACGTGTACAGTATATGAACACGTGTACAGTATATGAACACGTATACAGTATATGAACACGTGTACAGTATATGAACACGTATACAGTATATGAACACGTGTACTGTATATGAACACGTGTACAGTATATGAACACGTATACTGTATATGAACACGTGTACAGTATATGAACACGTGTACAGTATATGAACACGTGTGCAGTATATGAACACGTGTACAGTATATGAACATGTGTACAGTGTATGTTATAGAAGAACTGTACACAGCTTCCCGCCGCCATGTTGAGACGTATACGACTCCTGGTTAGCCGAAATATTATAAACAGTTTACTATATATTGCTATAATCATTACTCTAGAGTCTTGTCTTGTTATCTCGTATATGATAAATCGGGTTACTTGATTTTCTTCTTTGTTTCCTCCTTCAGTTTGTGGTTAATCTTACACAAGTCGGTATTTATATGCGACAAGATATATCGCCTTGGTGTCTAGCGGCTGCATGTCCTTGTAAAACGAGGTAACGGATCATGAGACATTAGATATCCGGCTTAGTTACTAACACCGTCACTACAGGGACGCCACTGCAGATGTTATTCAGCTCAGAGGGAACCACGTATCTCCATTAACTCGGTCTTCGCTCGTGTCCTGGACCAAGCGAGATATTAGTCGATTTTTCATGACGACTGAGAAAGCAACGCGTTGTCAGGGGCGATATTTTACCAAGGGCAATGAGAGTTTAAAGCCAGTGTATCTAATTCTAGAAAATCTCAGATGCATATTTACTCTTCCTTCTATGTCGCTCTGTAAAACTTTGAGCAACATAGGAAGTTCTCCTCGCTGGCTGAAGTGTAGAGGGAGGAGAAAGAGAAGGGAGGAGAAGGAGGTGGGGAAGGAGGTGAAGTGGGTGAGGGGAGGAGGTGAAGGGGGTGGAGGTGGGGTAGGGGGATCTACTGTGAGCCGAAAATGTTAATATTGACACAAGATGGAGTGTTGTTTATATATGTGACGTCATCATGATTGCTGTCCCTAGAGTGCTGGTTCATGTACCCTTAATTCTTGGTTTACACCCGACTCACTCTCTCTCTCTCTCTCTCTCTCTCTCTCTCTACCTACCCCGTGCCCTCGCCCCTCGCCGCTCCCTCTCATCAGTGCACCTGTATAGTGCTTGCAATCGCCAACAAAATTAAAAACAAAAAAACATTGTGACAGCCAGCTTAGTGAGCCAAGCACCAACACACAGCGAGGTTGGTGTTGGCAGTGGTGTTGGCAGTGGTGTTGGCAGTGATGCTGGCAGTGATGTTGGCAGTGGTGTTGGCAGTGGTGTTGGCAGTGGTGTTGGCAGTGGCGTTGATAGTGATGTTGGCAGTGATGTTGACAGTAGTGTTGGTAGTGATGATGGCAGTGGTGTTGATAATGATATCGACCAGTGATGTTGTGGTGTTGGCAGTGGTGTTGTAAAATCAAATGTGGAAATAAAACAAACTTTCTCGTGCTGCAGTTAAATGACCAAGCATTGAGCAGGTCTCCTCGGTGTCACTGCGTTAGCTACCTTGGATTACTCCTACTGTCTGAGGAAGTGAGATAATTATAGGATAAGGATTTATTTTTTAACAGGTTGCAAAAGAGATACTTTAACTATATTGATTATAGGAAGGAGGATAACTCTATAATTACTATCATCTGCGTTAAGGGTCGGTGATTGAGAGGAGTGAGGCATTACCAGTTATGATGTTTAGTATGAGGTAGTGGTGAGCATCAGGTGGTGGTGAGCATGATATGGTGAGCATGAGGTAATGGTGAGCATGTGGTAGTGGTGAACATGAGATGGTGAACATGAGGAGGTGTTGAGCATGACGCAGATAGTGACGCCGGCACACCAGGAAGTCATGCTAATCACCCCTCGTTCATTACTTGTAGAGCATATTAACACCAGACCGCACAAGGACGGCTCTTCCTCCTCCACGTTAATGCTATTCAGTCATAAATCTAACCTAACAATGATCGTTTAATATACTCTCTTTACTCTCTAATTATCTCGTCATTAATATCAAACTAGCAGGTAAAAACAAAAGGTAAACAAACATTGTAAACACGAGTGGAAGAACAACAAACAGTGTGGCAGGAATTGTCAGTAGATTCTTGGATGAGAGCCGTGCCGAGTGAGTGAGTGGGTGTGTGTGTGTGGGTGGGTGTGGTGTGGTGGGTCAGGTGTGGTGTGTGGGTGGTGTGGTGCGGTGGGTGTGGTGTGGTGGGTGTGTGGAAGGTGGGTAGGTGGGTGTGGTGTGGTGGGTAGGTGAGTGTCATGGGTGGGTGGGACTCGTGCCAGGTAACGCGCCAGGTGAGTGTGGGCAGATGGCCAGGTCAGGTTTTGTAGTGCTTGTGTGTTCATCTTAGCCTTCAATCAGTCTATGAACACTCCTGGAGCTTCTGGTGGCCTCTGTCCTCACAGGTGTGCGCTGCCGTAATTATGCACGTGTTACACCTGTCTGAGCTTACTGTATTATGTCTGTTGTGACTTTAATGAATTACATCTTATTGGTGTATCATCTGACCTTTTTCATTAATTACGTTTATATGAATAATTTTGTGTTTATTCACCTTCACTTGCATTTTTTTATATTGTACTTTAATTTGCATTTGTTTCTTTATTTTGACAATATTTTGGCATAGTCGTTTTTCTTTGTTATTCATTCTTATTTCATAATGTGTTGTTCTTACACGTATACCTGTTGTAGGCTCTTGGCAAACAGTAGTAAACACGGGTACCAAAAAGACATCGGGTGCAAATACAAAGCAAACAATCCAGGTGCAGGTACTGTACAAAGCAAACAATATAAACACAAAACAACAGCCATCACCCTCCTCCGTGTAGGTGCTCCCCTCATCACGTAGTCTGAGAGCGTCAGGTGAGCCCCTCCCACCAGCCCCCAGCACAACACACCTGGACATGTGCTGTGTGTCGCTACTATCAGGGGGGTTGGTGGAGCTGACATGTTCTGTGGCGTTGTGTGTGTGTAGAGAGAGAGAGAGAGAGAGAGAGAGAGAGATATTTTGTTTGACTATGTTTCATCATTCATTTTACTTTAAACTATTTATTCTACAGTATACATCGTTACACACGTGTGTGTGTGTGTGTGTGTGTGTGTGTGTGTGTACACTTTCCACCATGCGTAAAGGCTACCGTGTAGAAATGTTTGACTAAACATGACATATTTTTCAACTTGACAGAAAAAGTTCTACTCGCAGTTAACTTTTTGCGAGTATAAACAATTAACAGAATCCTGATTTTTATAGAGAATTAATTGCTTTAACGTCCTGAGCTGAAGTGAGTAACTGAACTGTAGGTTAGAAACAGCATTTGTTCAACTCCCGAGAGACAAACATTATGTCTACGTCACCACCATGTAAGATGAATGTAATTAAAAACTAAAAATAAAAATGGAGAAAATGAAAAACTGAGGGAGACTGACTGACTTGCATAATCCATTCATTTATTACTTACACTATCAAGCCAATGTGATAGTTGCCATTCAATCGTCATTCATCTTTTATATCTGTGAATCTGAAACTACTTAGCTGTAGTGCTGAGTCACGATGACATGACAGTATTGTGCTTTACAGGAGACGATGTTGTATAAAGGGAAGACATAAGCGTGTGGGTGAGGGTGTTAATGGATGCTTCTGTATAATGTGTGTGATGTGCATACACTTATACGCATACACTTATACGTACGAATGCGGGTACACGAAAGAGCACAAATACATAAACAGACACAGGTATGGTAACACATTCACATACACACACACACTCTCTCTCTCTCTCTCTCTCTCTCTCTCTCTCTCTCTCTCTCTCTCTCTCCTGGAGCCTTTGGTACCTGATAGGTGTGGCTGACGAGTTCACCGACACAAAAATTGCCCAACTACATACTTATGATGAGGGAGTCTTAAAAGGCTACTCGATTCACCATTATAACGAGAACCTTAATAAGGTCTCATTACTCGACTCGAGACCCAGGAGAGAGAGAGAGAGAGAGAGACTAAATGACGATCTCCCCCTCCTCCCTCTCCCTCCTTCCCTCCCCTCCTCCCTTCCCTCCCCTCCTTCCTTCCCTACCTTCCTCCCCATCCCTCCTTACATACCTGCCTTCCTCCCTTCCCTCCTCCCCAACCCTCCCAGTGAAATCTCTATTTAACGGACTATATGAAGAAGAAAGTCCGTTATATCGAAGATCCGTTAGGTGTGAAACTTCCATCTAACGCACTATATAGAGATGAGAGTCCGTTATATCGAGGGTCCGTTATATCGAGGGTCCGTTAGATGTGGAAACCCTTCATCTAA